CACAAGTTTACATGTAAGTGTCACACTGAAGCCACTACTAGTTTACTAGCTGAGGTTCCTCTGGCCAGCATGTTAACTTGTGTGCCGCATGCAAATGTTTGGGGTGGGATTTTGCAAAATTCCGCACTGTGATTGGTTGTCATATTTTATTTTAACATAGTGAGCCAATAGAAAGCCTCAATTTGAGAAATTCTCTGCCTCCTAATTAGAATTCTGTGCAACTAGCTAGCTAGTGTGAATGTAGGCTTGAACTAGTTTACTAGTATACATTTATGTCCTCACTAGTTAACTAGTTTGGACAATGGATGCATCAACTAGGTAACTAGTGAGCCTGCTACAATCAACTAGCTAGCTAGTGAGTCATTAATGGTTCACTAGTTAACTAGTGGCACTGCCCTACTCCAACTACTTAACTAGTTAGGAGTTTTGCCTTCACTAGTGAACATGTGGACACTTTGAACTGTCACTAGTTAACTAGTGAGACACAAAAACCTTCAACTAGCTGACTGGTATGCATTTTAGCCCTTACTAGTTAACTAGTGAGCCATTTTTGTGTCACCTAGTTAACTAGGATGCCAAAATGTGTTCACTAGTCAACTAGTGGGCATTTCTTCTGTCACTAGTTAACTGGTGTGCACATTTTGGCCATCACTAGTTAACTAGTGAGACACAAAAACCTTCAACTAGCTGACTGGTATGCATTTTGGCCTTTACTAGTTAACTAGTGAGCCATTTTGTGTCACCTAGTTAACTAGTGAAGCCAAAATGTGTTCACTAGTTAACTAGTGAACATTTCCGTCTCCCACTAGTTAACTGGTGGGCTCATTTTGACCCTGACTAGTTAACTAGTGAGACACAAATACCTTCAACTAGCTGACTGGTATGCATTTTGGCCTTTACTAGTTAACTAATGAGCCATTTTTGTGTCAACTAGTTAACTAGTGAAGGTCAAAATGTGTTCACTAGTTAACTAGCGTGTACAGTTTGACCCTCACTAGTTAACTAGTTGACCTGTTGACAAGATATCAGAATTAATGCTCAAGCGGCTGGCCAAATTGGGCAAAGTTAACAAGTGGGATTTTTACATTCAGTAGTCAGCTAGTACGAGTTTTTGTACCTTACTAGTTGACTAGTAAAAACTAAATGTGTTTTAACTAGTTAACTAGTGGACATTGATCTGTCCACTAGTTAACTAGTGAACACACTGAGCAATACTAGTTAACTAGTAAGATATGAAACATTTTAACTAGTTAACTAGAGAGAATTTAGGCCTTACTAGTTAACTAGTTGACATTTAGGCTGTCACTTTTTAACTAGTTGACACAAACATGGCTAACTAGTTAACTAGTGGACAGAAATGGCTTACATGTTCATGACAATTCTGGCTGATATCCTGATATCAGAATAAATGCTCATTTGGCTTGCCATACACATCCACCCCTTCTGAAGGTTAGACGCTCTTGTCTCTCCTGGTGATTTTCAATAAAGACTGTAGAACATGAGTAAAACACACTAGCTTTTTTTGTATTAGAGCTTCCAATTTTCTTATATGTTACACCCGTCCACACACACACACACACACACACACACACACACACACACACACACACACACACACACACACACACACACACACACACACACACACACACTGTGATCTGTCAAACAATGCTATTTCACACAACTTTATTTTAAAACACCAAGGTCAGAAAATTACACTTTGTATGCACAGTGACTCCCAGATGGAACATCCAGTCACACTGCAGCATTTTCTGCCTGTCTCTGACTGAAGAGAAGAAATAAATGTGGTGTTATCCAACTCAACGATCACGTTACACAATATTTGTCAATTTCGACCAAAATAATCTTGTAAAACTATAAAATAAAACTCACTCGTGCCTAAGACTGAGATGCAAGATTATCAGAATGCAGAGTATGAAGCTGGCTGACCGATCACTACAGAGCAACTTTAAATAGACATTATAACTCTGACCTTTCATCAAAACTGAGACTCGAGGGCATTAAACATAGCAAAGTAATACAGGTTGCTGACACAGATGTAAGGTCCATTACACGACACTAAAACAACACGTTACTTATTCATGTGGAAGGCCATTCTCCACAGATCAAGCAGCAACTCAGTGGGTGATAGTCTGTCCCACTGAAGCGATGAGGTCATAAAAATGATGTAATCCTCACAGTGAGTGTGTGTGAGTATTGTGTGTGTGTGTCTGCACTTTTATTCTTGTTTATTTTTCTCCAAATCTTTTTAGTCTGGCCTGCCTCTTGATTTCAAGAGCGAGAAGAAAGCCCCCGTGACCTTAAAGCTGGCACTCTTTAAATGCCACTTCATTTAAAAGTAACTCCTGCGTACCGAACTCCCACATCGCACAAAGAACACGGGACATACTGAGCCATACGGGGCTCAAATGTTCTCATTAGGTTTTCTGTCACATGAGGTATTTTTGATGGGTGGACCAGATTAATAATTAAATGTAAGCTGAAAAGTCATATTGAAAGGACAATATGTTTTTGTAAGCAGGTGTTAATAGAAGTCAAAATGACAGACTTTAGCTCTTTATTCCTTTACATAAAGCAGTTGCGATGACAAAGTTTAAATAACATCTGCAGGTTCTCACTTTGCCTTCAAGTAGAGCAGTTTCTTTCACGGTTGTCAAAACAGCAAAATGAAACATCAGATTCATCTGCTCTGTTCTGTCTAACATTACGTTTCTCCTGCCAAGAGAAAAAACAGATCAGTGAGAAGCAATGTGTGCATGCAGCCCGTAGCCATTAAAGAAAGGACCTGTCAGCCTCAGAGAGCAGCTGTGGTTTGCTGTTTCATTACAGTGCTGCCGAAATGTGCCGATTCGCTGTGACCAATTAGAGATTGTTTCCGTCGCTGTGGGCTCTTGACTCAGGCATTCCTCTTGAGGAGACAAACCCACTCTGTTGGAGAGGGAGCAACGGTGTGACAGCACGCCACAGGAAAAGCTACTGTAATCAAGGTGGAAATTCGTTTTGATGTGACAGATCCGAAGGAGTCGAGGAAACTAGTGGTTCTATTTTTAAGGTGAAGTTTTGACAACGCCATCACAAACCATGCGTAAAAAAGAGCATGTATTGCATTGATTTGCATTGACGTCAGAGATGCTTCCCTGAAAGCTGAGAGATGAGAGGAATAGGGCCAGGAACGTGCACGGCAGCTTTGTGTTGCTCATACAGATGCTTGCAGACAAATGGCAGCATTGTTCAAGGGTGAACGCCAGCGGGAACCCACCAGACACTTCACACACAAGCCCTTCTTTTTGCCTTGCTCACCCACCCGGTAACTCCTGAGATCTGCTGATCTTTGCTGACTAAAAGTTGCAAACTTAGGAGGGAAAAATCACAGAAATCTAGACTGCCTGTCACACGTCTCGTTCACTTTTCAGGGGTTCATATCGCTTCTCATCTCTGACGACAGAGAGCAACGCGAGAAAGAGAAAAAGTCACTACACGCCAGAGCTGACTCCAAAATGATTGCCTCACTGCCAACATCAACTGTGCGTTTTTTTATGTTTCCATAGTGATAACAAACATAATAAATGTTGATTCCTGAGCAAATAGTTTAGTTTATGTTGAACTAATCTAAAAAAGAGAAGAGAAATACCATAAACACATATAAAGTTCAAAAGGGAGTAGGATGGAGTGCAAACTTATAAAATTCTGACCCCTTTGTCCACCATTGCAATAACTCACACCTTGTAACCTTTCAATATAGCAAAACAGCAACCGTTACATGAGCCTTCATGTACTCAAATATTTTACAGCTTTATAGGCAACTTTTTCATATTTCAAATTGTTTTCTTGGGCTGGTAGGTGCTAAAATACACTACAGGGTTAATAAAAGGTCACTCAGACCCCACCGCCCTATGTGGCCAGAATATCATACTTGCAAGTTCAGAGTGCCGGTCCGGTCCTTGTTGGATTTAGTTAAGTGGAGCTTACATGCATGGCGCTGCAGTCTGCTTCCAGTACATTTCCAACATGTTTTAGATCATAAACACAGCTGATTTGTTTGATTTAGTGACGAATCGCTCCTGTAGACACTAAGGAAGGCTGGGGAGATGTTTAAGCAGTTAGAGTAAGGCGTTAAAAAGACAAACGCATGAAGTGATGAGTTTTGTTTTTACTAACGAACACTACGGAGTGCTAAAAGTAAAATAAACTGCTTAGTATCTCTTTCAATAAGGCACAATTGAAAATAATGCTATTGACTGACTATTTATCCATTTAAAGTAAAACAAACAACAACAAAAAACAAAAATAAACCAAAAATGCCCCAAAACACTAACAATACACACACACACACACACACACACACACACACACACACACACACACACACACACACACACACACACACACACATATATATATATATATATATATATATATATATATATATATATATATATATATATATATATATACACATATATATATGTATATATATATATATATATATATATATATATATATATATATATATATATATATATATATATATATATATACACACATATATATATATACATGTATATATACATATATATATGTATATATATATATATATATATATATATATATATATATATATATATATATATATATACATGTATATATACACACACACACACACACACACACACACACACACACACACACACACATATATACATATATATATATATATATATATATATATATATATATATATATATATATATATATATATATGTATATATATATATATATATATTCAGAAGAGGAGAAGAAAAGTCAGAAGCCTACCATCTGCTAACCTAATTAATCACCTGTGTATTTTTTTTATTGTGTAGCATACTCAGAGACATAAACCTGCAGCATGTTTATAAATAATCATAAATCAAAACCTGGTGATTTGCAAAAAACATTTCTTTATAGTAGAAAAATAGCTCATTTTCTAAGTGACTCACTTGGCTTTGGCGTCGGCATCTTCATGACCTTTATTGGACACATCCTCTAAACCTCCAATCAAGTGCTTGAATGAACTGAAAAAGAGGGGAAAACATCAAAAGAGCTCCTGGTTAGACTTATTTTTAAGAATCCACTCTCTCTTCAAGCCAAACCAAATCTCCTGTGCAGCAAGAGACAAATGAATGAGTTTGGGCTACAGAGAATCAAACAGTTTTTACACTGCAGCTGATTCATGTGCAGCGCAGAAGCAGACGGCCATAAAAACACTGCCAGTTACTATTAAATATTCATCAGACAGCTTTTAGAGACAAGGCTCGAAAGAAATCACAGGAAAGGGAGGCCGAGATACACAGATGAGGTGAAAAATGCCGTGGCAGCAGATATTGGCTGAGTGGGAAGTCAGAAACAAAAGTAAAAAGCTTTTCACCTTAAGCTGGGCGGACACTGTGCGACTTTTTCACTTTTTGAGCCGATCTTCCACTCTGGTGTATTTTCACTCTTAAATGGTTACCAGTAAACTGCTTTTAGAATCTTTGCAATAACCTTTAGGGCTTTGCACACTCAGGTTGCTTGTTGTATTTGTTAAATACTAAAAGTTTTATACTTCAACTCGGGCCCTCAGGTCATCTACCCAGACGTTATTAGTGATGCTGATTTATAATCCGTGGGGATCGATTGTTCACGCTGTTGCACCTAGACTGTAGAATGACTTTCCTTGTTTTTACACTGGATTTACTGAACCTATAACTTAAACCAACAACCAAATAAAAAAACTGTTCAAGACATTTTTATTCAATCCAGTTTGTATCCTGCCTGTCTGTCTGTCTGTCTGTCTGTCTGTCTGTCTGTCTGTCTGTCTGTCTGTCTGTCTATCTATCTATCTATCTATCTATCTATCTATCTATCTATCTATCTATCTATCTATCTATCTATCTATCTATCTATCTATCAATCTGGCAGTAATTGCTGAATTAATCTCTTGATGAATTTTAAATAGAGCTACACCATTAGACCTGTTGTTTTTACTTCTGAGGCTGGTAGATTTTTGGTTATTAGTTTTTATAATGAACATCTGGAAATATTGCCCTGACATTTTCTGGCCAAATTGAAACTCAGCATTCTGAATAAATAGTATAATTCTGAGTAAAAGAAGATTAAAAGAAAAATACATACAATAACTCAAACATCATTGTCAAAAATGAGCATTTGCTAACATTATTTCATCCATATTTAACATTTTAGAAACAGTGGAAGGTTAACAGTGATAACACTAAAGTAAATATAAATCATACAAACTTAATTCCGAAGGACAAGAAGCAGATTTACAGCTGCAATAGGCAGAAAGTGTTTCATGCCTTTCTGTGCCCACATAAATCTTCCTTGAATACTAAAAAAAGCTTGTGAGCAACGGTGCAGAAAAGACTTTAGGCTTGTTAATACTCACTCTCGATCTATGACTAGACAGGTGACTGCTTCTGCTGCAATCACGCTGGCTGTCCTGATGTCCTCCCTGAAGAAAATCAACATAAAAGAGAAAAATTAATCCCACATGCTTACTGAGTCACTTTATAATTCATTTTAAATGCTTCATCAGAGGTGCCATGAAGGACGTCTTGTCTAATTCAGCTTCTCTCTTGTTAAGTTGAACCAGCACCCAATGAAAGCATTGTTCTCAACAGACAACACATATCCCTGCAGGACTGGCATTACTCTTTATTGTATTTGACATCGAGTTCATCTTCCTCTGACGAGGAGTCGCCCCAGTCACACGAGTCTTCAGAGTCCGTCTCCCAAGAATCCATCCTTCCCTGTGGGAGAAGTTCAGCACACGGAGTCCCGCTCCGATGTGCTTGAACTTCAAAGCAGCACAGCGGCTCAAACAAAAGAGACTTGTGTAAAAAAAATCCCCAGTCCGCGTGTTTAGGAATAAAGTCGAGCATCAACTGAAAGAGCAGAAACAGAGAAGTAGTCCTTCAGGGGATTTCCCACAAGATGATCATTTTATATCCTTTTTTGTTTTTAGAAAATTGGAGGAAAAAACTAGGTTCAGGTCAACTGTTAGATTTTGTTGTTGACTAAATTGGAGAAAATTCATTTCGATTGAAGCTCTAACAGTAACTGACTGTGTCTGCTCTGAACTCAGACACATAGCAGCCTATTTCAATGAGCTGAGGTGACAATTCCACCTCATGTCAAATTGACTCACACACTCACACTCACACACGCACACGCACACGCACACGCACACGCACACGCGCACACACACACACACACACACACACACACACACACACACTCACACACACACACACACACACACACACACACACACACACACACACACACACACACACACACTCACACACACACACACACACCTCCCTGTCATTCGCTCACAAATACACACCAATACACCCTGCCTGGCTCTTTCTGCTAACCCCTCTTGAATAAAGGTCACAGCTGGTGCGAGAAACACATTTTGTAATGTGAGGACTACAGTGGAGGAGAGAGCAGAGTGGAGGTTGGCAGCCTTTGTCAGGAGTAAAGGATAAATCTACAGATGAACACTAAAGCCCTCCAGCTAGCGTGGCGCATAGGGTGATAAATTCACCTCTGATAAGCCTTTATGACCTGCATCCATGCTCTCAACACAACACTGTTCCTGGTCTTAAACAGACCTATTTATACAGTCATATTTATAACCATCTTATTGGTAAAGCAGGCAATAATTCAAGATTTCCATAACTTTGAAATGGTAGTTAATAATAGACAAGGCAACGTATCCCAGTTCCACCATGGAGGCACAGCAAAACAACTAAACATATGGAGATATCTTGAAAAAGAGTTAATTTAAGTTTGAATAATCCTTAAAGCAGAAATCCTTGGGTTACTCATCTAACCAATCAGATGTCAGGAAGAGCTGGAAATGAATTTATTCCAGGGACCTGCAGGTTACTGTTGTGACGGCTGGGGTGTAAACTTAGAAATCTGCACTAGGAGTATACGGTCTGTGTTGTTTTGGTTTTCTTTGGGAGATGATGTTTTGATCTGAACCAGACAATTAAAACGGATGTTTTGGATTTGTTGCAAAGACCTGTTGTTGTAGTTATGGCTTTCCTTAAAAAGGGTGTTTAAGCAATATTATGTACATGTACCTGATTTCAATCAGCAGGTGATTAACAGGCTTCTAAGAGCTTGATGAGCTGTGGCACAGGTGATTCAACCACTGAATTGTGTGTGTTGGAGCAGAGAAACAAGGAAAACATGCTGGATTCTCTCCAGGACCAGGAGCGAGTACCACTGATGTACATTATATATACTCGACTCAAATTGGACTTCATTTGTATAGCACTTTACAGACATTATGTAGAAGAAATGATGAGATGCAAGGCACAAATGTGGAGTTTTTGTAAGAGAGCTCCATCTAGAGGTAGAAAAAAGAAATGAACCATAAGCCCTTCTCTTTACTTCCATGATTACAGCTGGAACGCATCTTGTTCATGAACTCTCACCTACACACACACACACACACACACACACACAAACACACGCGCGCGCGGGCGCGGCTTACAGTTCAATATTCTAGACTCAGTGTCATACTCTAATCAGCTAATTAATCCAAAACACCTGCAAATAGTTCCTGAGCCTTTCGGTGGTCTCTCAGTCTAAGTTAAATTGCGGAAATAAACGGGATTTTGCGTGATGTTCGAGTTTTACCAGGACATGTCCATAAGAAATGTTGCCAATTCTGCATCAGTCAAAGGATTATCAAAACCATGCATGCACGCATAGCAACTAAAGTGGCAATAGCAAATTTACAGAACAAGCTAGCTTTTAAATGCAAACATGGGGTGTTTCTCAATGTCAAGGAACCTTGCCTTGATGTCTTGGCCCCGCCCCAGTTGCCAAGGAGATGCGTCATCAGGAACCACCAAGACGTGTTCCAATCGGTTCCGATGTTCATGTTCTACCGAGGGGTAGAACATGAACATTTTAGTGCTGCCGCTGTTGGTTCTCTGTTTGTTAGCCGTTTAGCTAGCTGAGCAAGGACACACGGGAGGTGTCTTGTAGCCTAGCCTTGGTCAAAAATTACCCACAACACACCGCGGTATTCTCAAAAGGACGGTGGATCAGAAGCTGGCAGCTACTTTGGGGACAAATTTCAAGTTTAAAAGTAAGTCAACTAATTTAAAATGTTTTTTTTTAGATCCAAAGAAGTTATCTATTGTTGGTTAGTTGCTTAATAGTTGCAGCTTCGGTGGCTAGCGGGTAGTAACTCACTTATCTTTTTTATTTAATAAACCTATAAACAATTTAAAAAGTAAAAGTCTCATTATATATTTATATTGAAACTAATACATATAAAATATAACATTATTAACCATGTCACGTGACGTTACGTGACCGCTGTGGAAGCAGTGGTCACGTGATGCAAGTCTGTTCCATTTAATCGTGTTCTTTGGCCAAGGAAGGACAGTGTCCTCGTAAGCAAGGCACCTGGCCTCGCAAGACATCACCTCGCAAGGCAAGGCGCCTTGACATTGAGAAACACCCAGGGTCACAAATTTCTCACCACTCCCTGGCAGCATCCGTGGGCCACCGAAAACAGAACCCACGTTGCAACCATGTTAGAACGTTGTTAAGAGGGATTAAAAACCTGTTTTAAGATAGCTTGTAGTTCAGATTTGCTATTGTAGCTTCAACATCTGTTCGTAAGAAGATGTCTAACGCTACTTGCTAATGGGTGTTGCTCAATTAATTTTCCAAAACAGTCCACATTGCTGCTATAAGAGGTTCACATTATTGAGTCTTTTGCCACCTGTCTGCTGCTGCTCAACGGTAGCTGTGGAAAACAACCCCAGATTGCCATGGCACTGACACCGGCTATGCTTGATATGAAACCCAATCCCAAAACAATATCTGTCAGTAGGATTCATTTGTACACGACTGAGCCTAAGTCATCCACAGTGGCTCTGCACTTGTTAACTTTGACACAACATGAAGTGCATTGGGGGACTGTCAAATGCACTTACACAAGCTCTAACACACTAAAAGCAGCTGCACGTTGTTGCTGGTATGTCCTTTGGACTCACACACAAGCTTGCGGTGTTGATTTCCAGTAGATGGTTGCGATGAACAGGGTAATTGGACAGTGATCTGGTGTCCTGGGAAAGGGGTTATGAAAACAGCGAATGCTTGAAGGCTGAGAGAGCGGCAGCAGCTATGCAAGCTGGAGAGAAGGAAGATTAGCCGAGGCCAGAACTGGAGCGAAAAAGAGACTCTTTGATTTGTAATAATGCTGGTTTCCTTTGCAACAAGTGGCACGTGTTTTCACATTTTAAGTTTCGTTTAGTTTATTTACAGGAGCATTTTTGTAAATGTGTCAGTATTAGCTCCAGAGCTAACTTTTAACTGTTGTCCCTGAGCAAGCTGTATTTTACCAAACACATAAAAATAAAACAAGAAAATATAAGGGAACAGCAGGTTGCACTTTTAAGTCTGTGGAACTTTTTCGTAATTCTTCTTGGGATTTAGTCTTGTTGTTGCACTTGATAACTGAAATACTCTGATCTCTCTCATTAGTATTTATGTATTTGTTTGTTTATTTTCAAAAAATGCAGACTTTCAAAAAATCTTAGTTTGGACTCTTTATTTGCACTTGTAATAGTAAAAATTAAAATTTTAAGATGTTTTATTATTATTATTATTATTATTATTATTATTATTATAAAAGCATAAGTTTCATACCACTTGTGGAACAAAAGTAGATTGCAAAAGCAAGAAAAGCTAACAGATGCTAAAACAAAGTAAAGTGGAGGATGCTAGTCTAATTTTGTCCCGTGGTACATTAGCCAAAACTACATTGTGACGGAATACTTTCTGCGTAGAGGCTCTTTCTGCATACTTTTAAATATGTAGTATAGTAAAAGTATAGAAATATCTAATAAATAATCTTGAGTGTAATACTGATATAATAAACATATATTTGCACAAAGAAAGTATGTTTGTCTGCTCATATGCTTGAAAACTATTATTGAACACAAAAAAGCCATATTATTGTATTCAAATTAATATTTAATAGGAATTCAACAATAATAATATTAATAACAATAACAAAAACCACAATAACCAAACATTTTCCCCAAAATTTGACTCTATCGAGGTTATGTGAATATCTGAAATAAATATATTTAAGAAACAAATTGGGGTTTGTAGTGATTTTTTACGTACATTTCTTGTATCTGTGTTTGTGCACCTTGTTTTCCTCATTAATGTTCTGAAAGAAATGGGTGTTGAAAGGAACATTAATTAGTAATAAACAAAATGCAGTCTTGTTCACCATAAAAGGAAACCATTAAAACTGTGACTTTAGAAGATACACCATTAACAGAACGGCTTTGAGCAAAAAGGAATGAGATCATTGTTTACAGCTGGGTTCAGACCATTAAGCTCTGCTTTGTTTGGTGTTGCAGGAAATCCATATTAGAGGACTCCAGCAAAATATTTCGTGCCCAGCCAGTCAGCAAACAGGCCGAGTTGGGCTGAGCTTTCGCTACGGCACAATGCCATGTCATCCATTAGCAGGTTCCGCTGGCTGTTAAAATCTGTGAAAGTTAACAGACCAAGAGACAAAAACATGCCAGCTTTCTAATCCTGCACTGGAGACTAGAATAAATAATAACTCTGATATTATAGACCAACGTTTCAACAAATAGGATTTAATAAAAGCCAACAAAACCCAACTGCAGCTGCAAGTCTAAGAGCTGCTCAGGCTAAAGTTTTGATTAATAAAAGATAGGCCTGTCGATGTGCACACTTCATTTTAGTGCTGCAGCTGTAAAATGCTGGTTAATGCCACATCAAGCCGTTTGCCGATCTCTGTTTTCAGCTGTTCATTAATGTTGGTTGATATTTTTAAAGCAGAGTTAGTTAATGATGGCCATTATCTTCTCGTCGTCGTCGTCGTCTTCCTCCGCTTATCCGGGTCCGGGTCGCGGGGGCAGCATCCCAACTAGGGAGCTCCAGGCCGTCCTCTCCCCGGCCTTGTCCACCAGCTCCTCCGGCAGGACCCCAAGGCGTTCCCGGACCAGATTGGAGATGTAACCTCTCCAACGTGTCCTGGGTCGACCCGGGGGCCTTCTGCCGGCAGGACATGCCCGAAACACCTCCCCGGGTAGGCGTCCAGGAGGCATCCTGACCAGATGCCCAAACCACCTCAACTGGCTCCTTTCGATCCGGAGGAGCAGCGGTTCTACTCCGAGTCCCTCCCGAATGTCCGAGCTCCTCACCCTATCTCTAAGGCTGAGCCCGGCCACCCTACGGAGGAAACTCATTTCGGCCGCTTGTATCCGCGATCTCGTTCTTTCGGTCATTACCCAAAGCTCATGACCATAGGTGAGGATTGGGACGTAGATCGACCGGTAAATCGAGAGCCTGGCTTTCTGGCTCAGCTCCCTCTTCCCCACGACAGATCGGCTCAGCGTCCGCATCACTGCAGACGCCGAACCAATCCGCCTGTCGATCTCCCGATCCCTCCTACCCTCACTCGTGAACATGACCCCGAGATACTTAAACTCCTCCACTTGAGGTAGGACCTCTCCCCCGACCCGGAGGTGGCAAGCCACCCTTTTCCGGTCGAGAACCATGGTCTCAGATTTGGAGGTGCTGATCCTCATCCCAGCCGCTTCACATTCGGCCACGAACCTACCCAGCAAGAGCTGAAGGTCAGAGCTGGATGAAGCTAGGAGGACCACATCATCCGCAAAAAGCAGAGACGAGATTCTCCTGCCACCAAACTCGACACACTCCACACCACGGCTGCGTCTAGAAATTCTGTCCATAAAAGTGATGAACAGAACCGGTGACAAAGGGCAGCCCTGGCGGAGTCCAACCCTCACTGGGAACAGGTCCGACTTACTACCGGCTATGCGGACCAAACTCACGCTCCTCTGGTAAAGGGACTGAATGGCCCTTAACAGAAAGCCACCCACCCCATACTCCTGGAGCGTCCCCCACAGGGTGCCCCTGGGGACACGGTCATAAGCCTTCTCCAAATCCACAAAGCACATGAGGATTGGTTGGGCAAACTCCCATGCCCCCTCCATCACCCTTGCAAGGGTATAGAGCTGGTCCACAGTTCCACGGCCAGGACGAAAACCACATTGCTCCTCCTCTATCTGAGATTCAACTATCGATCGGACCCTCCTCTCCAGTACCTTGGAGTAGACCTTTCCAGGGAGGCTGAGGAGTGTGATCCCCCTATAGTTGGAACACACCCTCAGGTCACCCTTCTTAAAGATGGGGACCACCACCCCAGTCTGCCACTCCCTAGGAACTGCCCCCGATGACCACGCAATGTTGTAGAGACGTGTCAACCATGACAGCCCTACAACATCCATAGCCTTGAGATACCCAGGACGAACCTCATCCGCCCCCGGGGCTCCGCCGCTGTGTAGTTGTTTGACTACCTCAGCAACTTCTGCCCCTGAGATCGGACAGTCCATCCCCAGGCCTCCCAGCTCTGGTTCCTCCTCGGAATGCGCATTGGTGGGATTGAGGAGCTCCTCAAAGTATTCCTTCCACCGTCCGACTATAGCCTCAGTTGACGTCAGCAGCTCCCCATCCCGACTGTAAACAGTGTGATCGAGTTGCTGCCTTCCTCTCCTGAGGCGCCGGACAGTTTGCCAGAACCTCTTTGGAGCCGATCGATAGTCTTTCTCCATGGCCTCACCAAACTCCTCCCACGCCCGAGATTTTGCCTCGGCAACTGCCACTGCTGCACCCCGCTTGGCTATCCGGTACCTGTCTGCTGCCTCCGGAGACCCACAGACCAGCCACGCCCTGTAGGCCTCCTTCTTCAGCCTGACGGCTCCCCGAACCTCTGGTGTCCACCAGCGGGTACGGGGGTTGCCACCACGACTGGCACCGGCCACCTTACGACCACAGCTAGCAACAGCCGCCTCGACAATCGCAGAGTGGAACAAGGCCCACTCGGACTCAATGTCCCCCACTGCTCTCGGGACGTGGTCAAAGCTCTGCCGGAGGTGGGAGTTGAAGACCGTCTTGACAGGTTCTTCTGCCAGGCGTTCCCAGCAGACCCTCACTATGCGTTTGGGTCTGCCAGGTCTACGCGGCATGTTCCCTTGCCATCTGATCCAACTCACCATCAGGTGGTGATCAGTTGACAGCTCCGCCCCTCTCTTCACTCGGGTGTCCAAAACATACGGCCGCAGGTCAGATGATATGACTACAAAATCTATCATCGACCTGTGACCTAGGCTGCCCTCGTACCAAGTGTACCGGTGGGCATCCTTATGTTCGAACATGGTGTTCGTTATGGCCAAACTGCGGCTTGCACAGAAGTCCAATAACAAAACACCGCTCGAGTTCAGATTAGGTGGGCCGTTCCTCCCAATCACACCCCTCCAGGTCAAACTGTCATTGCCTACGTGAGCATTGAAGTCCCCCAGCAGGACAATGGAGTCCCCTGATGGAGCACTATCTAGCACTCGTCCCAGGGACTCCAAAAAGGGTGGGTACTCTGAACTGATATTTGGCCCATAAGCACAAACAACAGTCAGGACCCGTTCCCCGACCCGAAGGCGCAAGGAAGCTACCCTCTTGTCCCCCGGGGTAAACCCCAACACACAGGCAGAGAGTCTCGGGGCTAACAAAAAGCCAACCCCAGCCCTCCGCCTCTCACCCGGAGCAACTCCAGCAAAGTAGAGTGTCCAACCCCTCTCCAGGTCTCGGGTTCCAGAGCCAATGCAATGTGTCGAGGTGAGTCCGACTATATCTAGCCGGTACCGCTCAACCTCTGCCACAAGCTCCGGCTCCTTCCCCGCCAGCGAGGTGACGTTCCATGTCCCAAAAACTAGTTTTCTTGTCCGGGGATTGGACCGCCAAGGCTCCCGCCTTGGTCTGCCACCCGATTCGCATTGCACCGGACCCTTCATGTTCCTCCTGCGGGTGGTGGGTCCACAGTTGGACGAGCCCATGTATCCGGTTCGGGCTGGGCCCGGCCGGGCCCCATGGGCGAAAGCCCGGCCACCAGGCGCTCGCTCACGGGCCCCAACCCCAGGCCTGGCTCCAGGGTGGGACCCCGGTAACCCTCCGGTGCCGGGTACTCCGACTCTTCGTTTTAACCGCCATGAAAGATCCTTCGAACCTCCTCCTTGAACCGTCACCTTGTCGTGGTGGAGGAGTTTGAGTGCCCTAATGATCCTAGGAGCTATGTTGTCTGGGGCACTTAGTGCCCCTGGTAGGGTCTCCCATGACAAGTTGGTCTTAGGTGAAGGGTGAGACAAAGAACGGTTCGAAGGAGCTTTCCATTATCTTCTGTTGTTGTTTTTTTCAACTGCAACTGCACTGTGGAGCAGTGGCTATAAAGGCTAAAGGACATCATTAAAAACTGACTGACAGGTCTTTTTGTACATTCATTCTGTGTTTCATCCAACTGTGTTACGGTTAATTTTCTAACAAAAGAAAAGTGTTGTTTTTGCCTTGTTCTTGCTGATGTTCTGACTATCACCGTAGCCTTCCTCAGAGCTTTGCCGCTGCTGGTGGCGTCACTTCCTTCTCCATTTATCCGCGGTCAGCAGAAGGCAACGTCGTCCCCTGCTGCACTACTGTTTGTAGCAATAGCAAATTGTAGTAAATA